TCAAATGAGATAACCAAAGTGATAAGTTTTTTTAAAGTTACTTAATATGCTAGGCAGAAGTAAGGCATAATTAACATTTTAGTAAATCACCTTAATGTTCTATTAACTGTGTCCATTGTGTATTTTCAAATACTTTATAGGCTTTTCTTTCTTTTTTTTTTTTTTTCGAGTAAGGAAGGCCTTGATAAATGCCCTCTCTGTGTTGAAAGCTGGTTGTGGACGTTAGAAAAATCTTTATCATTACAAAGAGAATTTCTCCCAGAATTTTCAAATGCCACAAAAAATCGATTTCTCTCACCTAATCTTGCCCAACAGGTTTTCACTTTTGGATCGATTTGGAGAGAAAGAAAAAAAAGTTAAGGTTATGCACTTGCTGTGAAACTCTGTGAGAATTAGGCAGTGGGGAAACTAAATTTACTTACCCACTTGTCATTTATTATGTAAGAGTGGTGGGGTTCTCCAAATGAAATGTTGCTTTTAAGTTGAATTGTCCAGGTGAATTGAAGTGGAAATTGGTGAATTGGATGAAAATCATTAGTTGTCATCTGTCTTTAGCCGCCCAAAAAGGCAACATCAGACCATTTAAATGATGCAAAGGAAACAAAAAATGCCTATACAGAAATAGACCTGGGATTCAATTTTATTAACTCAGATCTCAGTTATCCCTTCTCTCACTCCCCGTGGGTCTGTCTGCTCCCATACACACACAGCCACCATGCATGCATACACAAACAGACCTATGTGTGTACACGCACACACACAATTTCCAAGAACCCAAGAGAAGTTTTATTAACCTTGAACTCTTATGTTGTCCTCAAAACAAGAAGGAAGGCAATTCATGGTTAGGAAGAATTGATATAGTTAAAATGTCCATACTACCTAAGGCAATATATAGATTCAACACAATCCCTATCTAATTTCCAATTACATTTTTCACAGAACTAGAACATATAATCCTAAAATTTATATGTAACCATAAAAGACTCCAGGTAGCCACGGCAATCTTAAGAAATAAGAACAAACTGGGAGGATCACACTACCTGACATCAAATCATGCTAAAGGCTATAGTAATCAAAACAGTATGGTACTGGCATAAAAAACAGACACATAGATCAAAGGAACAGAATGGAGAGCCCAGAACAAAATCCATTCCTATATGGTCATTTAATCTATGACATTGGAAGCAAGAATTTGCATTGGGGTAAAGACAGTCTAATAAATGGTGCTGGGACTACTGGACAGACACACATACAAAACAACGAAGCTGGACTACCTCCTTATACCATAGACGAGAATAAATTCAAAATGAAAATGAATTAAAGACTTAAATGTAAGATCGGAAACCATAAAACTCCTAGAAGAAAATATAGATAGTAAATTTGCAGATATTACCCTTAGTAATATTTTTCCTGATATATCCCCTTGGGTATGGGAAGCAAAAGAAAAAATTAACATATGGGATTACATCAAACTAAAGAGTTTTTACACAGCAAAGGAAACCATCAATAAAACAAAAAGGCAGCCTACTGAATGGGAGAAGATATTTGCCAATGATACATCGCACAAAGGATTAATATTGAAAATTTATAAAAAAAACTCATACAACTCAACACCAAAAAAACAAACAACCCAATTTAAAAATGGGCAGAGGACATGAAGAGACATTTCTCTAAAGAGGACATACAGATGGCCAACAGACATATGAAAAAGTGTTCGACATCACTAATCAGTAGAGAAATGCAAATAAAAACCACAATGAGACACTACCTCACTATGGTCAGAATGGCTATCATCAATAAATCAACAAACAAGTGTTGGCAAGGATGTGGAGAAAAAGGAACCCTCAGGCACTGCTGGTAGGACTGCAGATTGGTGCAGCCACTATGGAAAACAGTATGGCAGTATCTCAAAAAATTGAAAATGGGCCTATCTTATGACCCAGCAATTCCACTCTTGGGTATCTATTCAGAGAAATCCAAAACACTAATTTGAAAAAATATACGCACCCCAATGTTTATTGCAGTGCTATTCACAATAGCCAAGGCTGGAAAACAACTGAAATGCCCATCGGTAGACAACGACTGAATTTAAAAACTGTGGTACATTTATACAATGGAGTATTACTTGGCCATAAAAAAGAATGAAATCTTACAAATTGCAACAATATGAATGGACCTAGAGAACACTATGCTAAGCAAAATAAGTTAGACGGAGAAAGACAAATACCATATGATCTCACTTATATGTGGAATCTAAAGAACAGAATAAGTGAACAAACTAAACAGAAATAGCGTCAGAGATACAGAGAAAAAACTGATGATTGCTAGATGGGAGGGGGGTGGGAATGGGAGAGAAGGTAAAGGAATTAAAAAGTACAAATTAGTAGCCACAATAATGCCACAGGGACATGAAAGACAGTTTGGGGAATATAATCAATAATGTTATGAAGATTTTGTAGGGTGTCAGATGGACACTTGTCTTGTTAGGGAGACCACTTCATGGATGGGGTAGATTCCTGACCACTGTGCTGTACACCTGAAGCTGAAGCTGAATAGTATTGAATGTCAACTATAATTAAATATATCTGTATATATATATATAATTTTTTAAAGGATGCAGGTAATTACATATTTAGATTTTAATTTTTTCCTAGCAAATAATGAAAACCAAAGTATTTTTGTTTGTTTGTTGTCCACCGATCCTTATTATTACAATTATTTTGAGTGTGGATTGTTTAATGAGAGGGGAGATATGAAAGGCAATAGACTTTTGAGATGTTATCTAGACTTATTTCACTTATTGGCTAATTATTTTTCCTACTTGCTTGCGATCTGTCTTCCTCTCTTTCTTTCTTCTTTCCTTCCTTCCTCCCTGCCTTCCTTCTGTCTTTATTTTCTTTCTTCCTGAGAACAGGATTTTATGTATTTTATTTGGACCCCTCATTCTACTGTCATATTCCTATCAGTTGGGCTAATGAATGAATGAACAAATAAATGAATGAACAAATGAATGAATGAGTCTGCCTTGACTATTTAAAACCCAGGCTTTCCTTTATCAAATCTTTCTTTTCAAATCTCTTGCCCCTCTAGCCTACTTTCTTTTTTGTTTTTTTTGTTTTTTTTATTGTTAGTTTTAGGTGTACAGAACAATGGAATAGTTATCCTTTTCACCCCTCACACAGAAACAACCCCCCTCTCCCATCCACTGCCCTCCCACCCCCGATATCATGCTTATCTATTACAATTCCATTGACTCCATTTCCACACTCTATTCCGTGTCCCGTGACTATATGTATATATAATTTTAATTGACATACAATATTATTCAACATCAGCTTCAGAAATACAGTGTGGTGGTCAGGCCTCTACACCGACTATGAAGTGGTCTCCCTAACAAGACATGAGTCCATCTGGCCCCCTAAAAATATTTACAACATTACTGATTATATTCCCCAGACAGCCTACTTTCATAATTCCTATATCCTTGACGTCAAGAGAGTGTATAGCCTTCTCAATGGGCAACTCCAATTTTGCAGATAGGAAAATAAGACTGAAAGAGTGAAGGGAATTTGAATTCTTAGAAACATTCAGAATAATTTTTTTTTCATCTCAGAAGTGTAACTAATGTAGAGGGACACAATGAAAAGCTTTTCAAAAGGTGAAATTCTCAGAAAACCTAAGCTATCATTTTTGGTCATTTTTGCACATGGATAGCCAAAAGCTACTTGCTTTTAAAATAAGAGCAAATTAATGATGTTTGTTATTCTTTAGAGCAGAAAAGGGAATGAGACCGCTTTGAAAGAAAACATATTTAGAGCTATTACTTTTCAGCTTCCTTTAAAGACACAATTGTTCATTGTGTTTCTCAGGGCTGTGACTTCATAACCACACAAAATACCAACATTTCACCCATGAATTCAAACCTTTGTGCTGAAGAAGAGACATCATTTCCTCAGCCCTCTCCACCTGCAAATTTATATCAGCACTTAAAAATTAGCAGCATTCTTTTCCAAAAGTACTTAAAAAGTACTTTTCCAGCCCTGATCTCTGGCTTCATTATTCCATTGCAATGCTATAGAGATGTCAAAATCTGTGCTAGCAGGGGAAGGGAAAGGTAGCCAATGAATGAGTGAAAAAGTACTAGGCTAGGAGTCAGGAACTTGGAGTTTTGTTCTTGTTCTGCATGCAGCTAACTAATTTGGTGACCTTGAACAAATTAACTTACCACTTTAGGCTGACTTCCTCATCTATAATATGAGCATTTTCACACACACACATACACACACACACACACACACACACACACACACACATACAAAACTAAGGTCCCTTCTAGCTCTAAATAGTTAATGATTCCTCTGGGTCAGCTTGTCTTTGCTTTGTCATGGTCTTGTGTTGTCAAGCTCTTTGTATTAGTGTGTTTTGGAGGAAGGTTTTTCTTCCAGATCTATTTGCATGCAGTATTTGTTAATATACTACATTGCCTAGCACCTATCTCTCCTCATTCCCTACAAGGGCTGTCAACAGCCATTCATTTCTTGTTTATTGACAGTCAACCCAGAACCAGGAACTGGGATAAGTACTGGGATTCAGGCATTGGGCAACCCAAAGTTTAGAAAGCACCTCTATTTACAAAGAGGATCTATTCCAACAACACACGGGAAGAAGCTGGATCAACTGAAAAGAGAAATGTAGTTGGGGGCGGGGAGGAGCTTCCGAAACTTGTGAGGGACCATGATGAGGGAAGCCGTGACTTCCCCCAACATCGTCCATGCCCTTCCTGACTAGATTCGAGAGGAACAGAACTCTATTTTTCCTCCAGAAAATTTATTATTGAGATACCTCAGTTTTTAAATCCAAACTAAAGGATGGTTTAAATGATTTATTTTTAACTAAGAAATGAAATTGCCTATGGACCTTGATTCAGGTAACCACAAGTGATTTTTACAAACGAGCCTGTGTGATGTTTAGTTGAGAATCCTAACTCACTTCACTTTCAGTAGGTGCTTTCTGGACATCTGTAACCAAGCGCAGTCTTCATACTAAACCCAGAATGCCTCCATGTGACTTCACACCCGAAAGATACCAGGTAAGAGTCAGAGCTTTGGAAAAACCCAGAAGAGGCGGTTCTTCTCAAAAGGGCTAAATGAATCTTTCCCTCAAAAGGACCCACAAATGACCCTGCCTGCCACTGAGCCCTCCCATCCCAGATAGTCTATCCTTTAGGTCACTGGGGGCCTCTGAAACCCCTAACTCCATTCAGAGCTATTATATGAATTGGTGTGCATGTGTGTGAGAGAAAGACAGAGACAGAGGCAGAGATAAAGAGACAGAGAGACAGAGGATGCAACAAAGACACAATATGTGTATCCCAGGACTAGAGATATAGATATACATGTACATAAGTACATGTGTCACAAAATGTGACAGCACATATTAACTTTACAAAATGTTCTGATTTTGACTGTCTCCTATATGGCAATGCATGATCCAATGTTCCTGAGTTCTCCATCAAAAAATATAAAGTGGGGCCACCTGAGTGGTGCGTTGGTTAAGAGCTGGCTTGAGACACCAGCTCTGACCAGTAGGGCCCCGGTTCAGATCCCACCTGAGGGCCAGTGATGCTGCCCTCTACAGCTAAGATGCTGAACAACAGCTCTACCTGGAGCTGGGCTACCGTGAGTCCGCCGGTGATGGCATAGGCTGCAGCCCCTGCTGCAGTGGGCTGCCATAAGCTACCGTGTGTGGCCAGCAGCCAGTGTGAGCTGCCAAGAGCCGCTGTGAGTGGCCGTCCAGAGACCGGCAACCAATCGGCCTCATCTGGGAAGAGCGCAATAATACCAACATGGGCCAGTGAAGCAACGTCCTCCACAACTAGACTGAAGAACAAAAGGACAGCAACTTGTCTGTTCCCCTTCCCCCAGTTTCCCAGTGCTGTTCCCCTCCCTCAATTCCCAAAAAAAAAATCTTTAAAAAAAAAAAATAATAATAATATATATATATATATATATATAGTCATCATTTTGTTCTCATGCTAATAAATATCTCCCTCTCTCTCTCTCCAAACTTTTTATTTTACATAATACTCATAGGTTAGAAATTGTAGAATTAATAGTCAGGAGGGACCCATAAAGAGAAATATAGAAGAGAAGTTTGTAAATTGAAGACATGAACACCACGCATACTTATTATTTTTTATTCTCAAAAAAAGAAAAAAAACTGATATTACTTCAGATATTTACTTCCAAAGTTTTGTTTTTCACAGTGAGAATCAACTCAAAGCCAAGGCTTTCCATTGAAAGGAAGAAAATTTCAGCCCCCTTTTTCACGTTTGATTTAGAAAGGGATCAGAGGGCCACATTGGTAATTCCCTCAATGTGAGAGGAAGGACCTTGATGTCCTACAAGGAAGAAACTGAGCAAACACACACGTGTGTGAACATAGGACCGTGGCCTCACCCCTCAGCCAGTAGAGAGGCGAGGCACTGCTCTAGTGACTTGCTGAAGAACTGTAGAGATAGGAAAGGGAAGATTTTAAATACTGAAATGTTATCTGTCCACAGTCCCTCGCCTATGACCGTGTCCTGGAGATCCACAAGCAACATCTTTCTCCTGTGCTGGTGTCGTATTTTTCGGAGCCTTTGTTGCTCCACCAGGGTCACATGGAGTGGCTGTTTGATTATGAGGGAAACAGATACCTGGATTTCTTTTCTGGGATTGTTACTGTCGGTGTTGGTCACTGCCATCCGTGAGTATCCTTAAAATGCTGGGCTTTTCACTCCAGAATATATGGGAAACAGGCTAGTGATCATGTTAGTGATTGAGAGCCCTGGTTAAAAATTCTCCCTCCTTCGGCATATCCTAGCTTATGGTTGACATGTTCTTTGCTACTTCCTGGGTAACAACAACAACAAAACAGTCTTAACACTGCACTTTTTATTTTCTTAACAACACAAGATTTAGTCATTCTTGTTGCACCTGAAATGCGGCATGTACCATATGAATGGAGTGGTGTGTTTCTCCTCACTAGTAACAGCTTTTCACAGAAAGAAAATGCACTGAGGACAAGGCAGAAAGAAGAGGAAGACGGGAGAGTCTCAGAGAACTCGGGGCAGGTGTGTGGGATGGGGGATGGCTAGAGATGAAAAATCACTTCTAGCCAAAGGATCTTTATCACCTACTCTGACTGATGGAAGGAAAGAACGATGAGAGGAAGATGTAACCATGGCTGAAAATTTACATTAGGATGGATCTGTTAATCTTGACATTCTCTGCTACCTTGATCATCAACCCATCCCCACCAATACCCTCAGCAGGTCCTCCTGTGGCCCTGCTGGTGTCAGTGCAGCCATCTCATTTTGATGTCTGTTTTCTCTTGCCTTTAATAATCTAGCCAATAAAATTGACATTAAGTGAGACAAAAATAAAGCAGGAAGTCTAAGTAAATAGGTTTGGGCCCTTCTGTCAAAGTAGGCCCAAAGGGTATTCTCTACAAGCAGCTGCCAGGCAGTGAGGGGTGAGTTTTAACTCCAGGGTCCAGCCCGCACCAGCTCCTCCCATAACCTTGTCCTTCCCATTCCTGTCTTTAGGAGGCACTAGTCCCATGCAAGGTCCTGAGGAACATGCAGAATAAGTTTCAAGTGAAATTTAAAACATAGGTCCAACACACATGAAAGAAGTAAAAAAAAAAAATGAAGTAGAGAAATGTTTTAACATTCTCACTGAATCCTCCCAATAATGTTGGACATTGTCCTTGTTAATCAACCCTCTTACCAGCTTCATGACCTTTGTGATCCTGATCTCCCTCTGACCCCCTGACTCTGGGTTTCCCAGGCTCCTTCCTTAGCCCCCTACTCTTCTTTCTATATTCCCTTTGTGCCTTAATATTTCCTTCATAGAAGAGGTCCACCCCATCTCCCCACATCTGGTCATTTAGTTGCTACATTTTCAGCAGCCTTACCCAACTCTATTTCTTCAGGCTTGACCCCTCACCAAGCTATGATAATAACTCTAATAAATCCAGAGTGGGTATTAAGATGTCCCATATTTCCCACAGCTTCCAAAACACTCCCCCAACCCCACCCCATAACATCCCACCATCAGCTGAAATTCAACATCACCAAGACCAAATCCACCACGCGCTCCACAATACTGTTTCTAGCCACCTGTTCATTTATTCACGTAGCACACGTGAGATACATACTCTGCAGAAATTCTCTGCTAGGAGCTGGGTCACTAAACAACTGGCTGTATTTCTCAACTTATCCTGGAGTTTTCCCAATATCACGGGCAAGAATGTTGACATCATCTTTGACTCTTCCCTGCCTTTCATTTCCTATAGTCAACCAAGATCTGCTTTTCCCTCCCCTGAAATGCCTCTCGTATTAGCCCCTCTCATTAATTCTTACTAACTCCTAGGAAGTCTCCTCCTCCCATGCCTGGAAGACCACCATGCCGTCATAGTTGGCCTCATGATTACCAGTCTTTCCCCCTGCGTTCTACCCTCATGTGGCTCTCAGATTTATTTTACTAAATAATGCTTTTGTCAAGTGTCTCTTCTGTTTAAGAGTTTATTGATATTTCACAATTTTCTAAAGTGAGTTCCGTGGAGCACTGATCAAAAGAAAGGTTCATTGGTAAAGAATCCTGTGAAAAAAATAAGTGTGGGAAACACTTTAAACTATATCTCCCTTCTGGGGAGAAACAGTGCACGTAAGACTATTAAAGGTACTAAAAGTCCTGCCGTAAGAAAATCTATTTGATCTGGCGTTTCTCAAAATTGTTTAACCACTGAGCTGATTTTTTTTTAAGATTCTTTTTGAGGGAATTGGGGAAGGGAACAGTGTTGGGGAATTGAGGAAGGGGAACATTGTGTTTTTCCAGGACCCATCTGAGCTGATTTTTTTGATGTGACAGTTATTAATAACAGATTGGTGTGTAACAAACTTCAGTCATTGCTATCCTTTAGATCAAGATCAAACATCTTGATCTGTCTTTTCAAGCATTCCTAGTTAGTTCCCACATATCTATTTATCCTGAGTTCCTACCGTCCCTCAACATGAACCTTCTTTCACAGAATGTGGTTTCGTAATGAAGTTACAAAATGTTCGACACTGACCACTAAGTCCCAGAAATTGGGATCTCGTTTGAAGGAAAAAGTATTAATCTTGTCTTGCATACATGTGCTTGATGGATCTGTAGTTCTTTAGAAAACTAAAATACAACAACACCCAGGCTTACAATGAGTCGTGTTTAGTTTCCAAACTATTTAAAGTGTAGTTAATAAGAAAGTCTAGTTAGAAGAGATCCTAAGTCCAAACTTCCTTCTAAACGAATGTCTTTTCTAAAATCCTGCGATATCATTTAGTCTCCTCTTAAACAATTCTCTTGGGGAAGTAATTATTACCTTTTGAGGCAATACATCCCATTGCCAGGCATCTCTGGTGGTCAAGAGTTCTTTCTCATGTGTGGATGAACTCAGCCTCTTGAAACTCTTGGAGGAATAGCCATATGTTTGGGTTCAATGAGCAGCATGTGTGTTGGGAAGGACATGCCCGCCAGCAGTGTGGGTAACTGTGCTCTTCTCTTTATTCAGGAAGGTAAACGCACTGGCACAAAAGCAGCTTGGCCGCCTGTGGCACACAAGTGGCTTCTTCTTCCACCCTTCGATCCATGAATACGCAGAGAAGCTTTCAGCACTTTTTCCTGAGCCGCTAAAGGTATAAATGCTCCCAGATGAAAGGGACAGGAGTCTCATCATGATCCCAGGGGAGCTGCCCTGGGAAGCAGGAAAATGAGCAGGGAATTTGGTCTGTGCATTGAACAGCTGAAATAGTGAGCTAATAGTCACATTTGAAAGCAATCAAGAAGGAAGGAATCTATGAATTGCTGGTGAAAACAGCCAATGTTTACTTCACCAGCTCTGCCTGTCCTTGGCCGCTCTCCTCACCACCACATCTTTGCAGAAATCACTTAGCAGAAGCTCCTGCCCTCCTGACTCTCTCCTTTATGTTCCTCAAGAGGATTTTATCTCTTTGCTTCATAGCCCCTCTGCAAAGTCATTTGCATTTCTTCTTTGACAAAGAGTGGAGCCATTTTAAAATAAAATTAATATGCCATCCAGTTTACTTAGTCTGAATGCATTTAGATATTTTTGATCAATGACATTTTTTTCTGCCTCTGAAGTGATTGAATTTTTTAACTGAATTGAGATATTAAAATGTTGCTCAAGATTTGTGTTTAGGAAATCAATGAATTGATACACATGTAGTACCTAGAACAGTACCTTGTGTTAGCTAGTACCATCATTTTACTACATTATCTAGATACTCTATTTACTATATTATCTAGAAGAAATGAAAAAAGCTGGAATAGCTGCAACCCAAATTCAGCCCAGCCATATTCACGGAAGAGCAGAAGCAAGGAAGTCAGCAGTACACGCCTCCTAGTCCCTGAACCTGAGCCTGAGGACCCAGTACCCTTCAGATCTCCCCTTTCTTTTTGCCAAGATGAGCAGCATTTTTGGTTTGTTTGCTTGTTTTTTCGGCATTCACACACACTGAACAGACAGGCTGGGAAGTCCTCTGGGGCGGCAGGACTAGGGAGCCTGCTTGTTTCAAGCCTTCAGATGTGGGGGAGGTTTGTGGTCAGAAACCAAGCTACTTGGTCCTCAGATCTACTCAGCCACTAACCGCTGTGTACACCTCAGCAAGTCTCCCTGTCTTAGCATTCAGCAGAGCAGCAAGTAGCGCCAATGAAAGTCCAGAATATTTCACAACTGGGACAATCCCTTAGCCATTTTTGTGTGTCTAGCATTTAGCAGCTGCCTAATGAAGAGCTATAGGATTCATAGAGTAATTAAATGATGGGACCGCTGGACTGACCAGAACTCTCCTTAATAATCAGAGACTGGGACGCACAGTCCTTAGCAATTTTGCATGAATTGGCTAAGAAGGAAATAAATTAAAACAGGAGGCCATGTGTCTTTATTTTCCCTCCAGGTCATTTTCTTCATGAACAGTGGCTCAGAAGCCAACGACTTAGCCATGCTGATGGCCAGAGCACACTCAAATAACACAGACATCATTTCTTTCAGGTAATCACACCATGGAATAGCCAACTTTAATAACATTGGCTTACCCCAACACTAAATGCCTATTTTTAAAATATACCATGGAGGGGCATTTCCCAGGGTCATGTTTCTAATTTTTGGTTTTAAGACAGGATCAGTCAAATGAACTATGTGATGCAATAACCCGATCCAAATTGATGTGCTCCAAGGTAGTAGTCCCTGACTAGGGTAACAAACTTCTTGGAGTCCTAGTTATGTCATAAATCTCCTACGGAATTCAAGGTCACGTGACAGCTTTTTAACTTTTAAGATGTGGTCTTCACCACAACATATGGTGAGTGACTGGTTTTTCCTCATAGATGCGCAGGACTACCATATGACACTGGTCCTACTTTTGTCTCTGCTTTCGATACGGAGCCACATACTGATCTCTTAGTGCCAGCTGCACCGATTTCTCACCTTTTATTCTTTTTAAGTTCAGAGGATGTCTATCTAACCCTGTATATTCCTGCTCCTTTTGAGTGACTTTTGAGAATTGATCATTTAATTTATCAATTATAAACCCTTGGTGGCTAAATTATGAGCATTAGAACAATATAAAACTAAGAATTTTGCTTATAGTTGCCTCTCTTGGGTAATTTTATATAGCACATTTAAACACTCTTATAATAAGGTTTATGTAAAAGACAGGAGTGAGTTATAGTAAAAGTTGATGGACTGAAGAAATTGTCCCATTCGTTCACCTGTCTGACCATAATCTCTGTCTGGATTCTAAAGAAGATATGATTTCCACAAGATTTGATTACCACAGCACATTCAATACTACACATTCCACATAAAATGTGCATGTAATGACTACAGGGATGAGCAAACATTTGCTAACAATAAAATATGGCAATAAAGAATTGTGATTGTTTTAATAAATAAACATTCCAGACGATGTATGTCCAGATAAGTATCAACCTATTCGAAACAGTCATGTGCTACTGGGGTTCCACACATGCTTGTGTCTTCTCTCTTACAAGATGTATGACCATTCCACTGTGAAGTCTTACTACATAGTCCTAAATCTGCACTTTGGGTTGTTTTGATCTGGGAAATTGCCCAAACTCATTTGAAGCCAAAACTGGTGATTAGAATGATTGATACCAAATATGACTGTTTCAGGTTAAAAAAAAAAAAACCACAATCTGTTTCTTATATGCCAAGTACAGTAGCTATAAGGCATTTCAAGAGGGGCACCCAGAGGTGTTGAGCTACGGCTGCATCACCGGAATATTTGGCTTCTCAAGGAAATTATTTTGAAGACAAACACTCCTTGAATATATAATTTGGGGCATGTTGCTGAAAGATGAGTCTCCCTGCTTTAGAGGAACAGGGTAGGGTAAGTGCTAAGGTCAGAGTTCTTGGATAAAAGGCCTCCAAAATTCCTTTCACGGTTTCAAATCTACGACACCAGTAGGGAAGATACATAAATATATTCACCTGGCATAGACTTAGAAGATTTCTTAGAAACCACTGGAGTTGCATGTTAATGGTGCTCCATTTTATCTCCATGGCCTTCATGAATTTCCTCTTTTGCCTCACCCCGTGTTCCACAGGCCAGTGATCAAAGAACAATGAATTTACTCTGTCTTCCCACTGTTTTTTCTCTGCAGAGGTGCCTACCATGGATGCAGTCCTAACACACTTAACTTGTCAAACATAGTGTCCTTCAAGACGAAACTGCCCCTTGGGATAGGCTGCCAATCAGTGAGTTTTGAGATTTAAAGGCTGTTGGGTATATGGAGTAATTGATCCGATTTTCCAGGCATTCGAATTAGAAACTAATAGAAAGCCTATCATTAATCAGAGGTGCAATTTGACTTAATTGTATTGAAGACCATTTGGGAGAAATGTTTCTTAGAAAAACTTTCAGAGACTGAGTAAAAATAACAGAGGGTTTTTTAACATTTGTTTTGCTTTAAAATAAAATCAAATAAATTGCAAATAAATGCATTGACATTAGTTCTCAGAACCCTGAATGCATAACATTTCTAGAGTCATCCTTGTCCTTAGCTTCTCTTCTCTCTGTCTGCACCCACTTTTACAGCATCAGAATCAGATACCTCATTATTCTTATTCTTTCAAAGGCCCTTACCCACCAAACACTTAAGCAAGCTGTTTCCAGGCTGACACTGAAATCAGTTTCCTTTGTAGAGTGCCCACATAACTATTTCTAAGAAAAGAATTATCTCTCTTCAAAGCAGAATAACAGGTTTTTATCTTAAGTGGGAAAGGAGTAAGGGAGGAATATCGATATCAAATTTAAAATCCCCTTGCCTTGATTGGTAACATATGCTCTCCCAGTTTGGCTGTCTTGTGTTCACGTTTTGCCAAACTTCTTCTTTTGTCATTTGCAGACAATGTGCCCAGATGTTTTCCGTGGCCCTTGGGGAGGAAGCCACTGCCGAGATTCTCCAGTACAAACAATTAGGAAATGCAGCTGTGCACCAGGTCCCACTGGGCAGGGAGGGAGGCCCATGATGGAAGGTCAGGAGGGATAAGGAACGTGGAGAAAGGCTGAACCCTTCCTGAGTAAACAGATTTTAAAAAGTGGGAAAGGGAAAATCCAAAGGAAACAAAACTAGAAAGCAACCCCTCGTTGAATCATTTCTCATGCCTACCGCCACTGTGCTATCTGGCTGTTAGGAAAAGCGCCTCATGCTATCAGAGCGAAGCTAAAAATAGACTGTCACCTGGTAATTAAAGAAGCGCTATTAGCACTATTAGCAATAACTGTGCTGTCAATCTTAAAAGAAAACGAGGTTGGTGGAATTTTTTACCAATTACCAAGGGAAGGAGAGGAGAGGGCAAAGAATACTTCTAGAAATCTCAAAACTCCAGTCAAGAGGCCCCCCCAGGGAAGCAGAATGCCAACCAAAATGAGATGTTTTGACAGATATTGTCAAAACACAAGGCCATTCCTGAAGGCTCCTAACATCTTGCAAAAGTTTTGAAGGCATTCTCACAAGGAAAGCTTCCATTTATCCATCGCATTGTATTTGCATTCTTCACCTATTCCCAACATGAAGGAGAAAAGGTACGGAAACAGCATCAGTTTTTTGCTAAGTCCCGCCTCATGTTCGTCACCACAGTTCAGAACCTGTGGAATAGCTGCTCCTAAGGAGTGCTGAAGGAAAAGAACTAGATGCTCCGGCCGAAAGGTCTTTAAGGAAATAGTAAGCGTCAATGGGTTGAGAGAAAGAATGCAAATGGAAGTCTTAAAAATCAGCTTTAAAAGGGAGAAAATTCAGTCATCTTCAAATTCAGATGGGTCATAGCAAATGGAGGTAGGAGGATGAAAGAATGAGCATTGGAACAAGATGTCATGGTCACAGAACTCAAAGCCGTAAGGAAGTTTAAAGCTGTCATTCACACTCCATTGAAAAGATGAGGATACTGAAGTCCGCACCTAGGAGGAAGGACCGCGAGGACTTGACCCCAAGCCAGTGCTCCCACCCTATGACCCCACCTTGTTCACACTGATGTGGCAGCAGGATGAACCCAGGCTTAAAAATAACCCCTGTTCTGCTGACCAGGACTGATAAGACACATACAGTCAGGAAACCTGGATTCTACTCCCAGCCTTGCCATGGTTCAGCTACAAGCAAAAGATCCATCTTTCACTTCCATTTGCTCATCTGTAAAATGGAGAGAGCAACACCTGCCTCCCTGACTCCTTATCCCAGGGCTTCATGAGATTTAGGCAAGAGAGCTTTATGTAGATGAGGGTGGATCATAGCAACACCAAATATAGCCATATCTGTATACCTTATGTATATGGCATCAAGAACTAAAACCAGCTCACGCACCTCATAGGCCTCGATCTGACTGCAAACCATCAGTACAGAGCCCAGTAGGCAGAAGTGCTCAAGAGGCGGTCATCTCCTCCTCCCCACCATTAGTGTCCCCCTCTTCCTCCATCCTCTCTGCCTCCTCACACTTTGAGGCCTTCTCCTCTGCCTTAGGCCAACTAGAAAATACCAGAACCCCATGGTCATCTCTCTAGCGGCATCTGGAGGCTAAATGACAGTGACAGACATTCATTTCTCCTTCTCTGAACTGCTGCTGTCTTTGGCATATCTGAAGTCAGCTGTTTTCTTAACTCATATCTTCAAGAGACAAGACTGATATCATATCTTTAAACAGAATTGGAATACAAAAAGGGACTTCATCCTCTTCTAATACTTTTAGGATCTGAGAAGTATTTGGTCTTTGTTGTAAAAGGTGTATTCCTATGTTTACAAAGGCATTCCAACATGTAAAGTACTTTGAGTATAGAAGGTTCTAGTTCTGGGTTCCTCTTAGGGTTCATTCAAATGCCAATCTTGTTAGGTTTTTTACCTCAGAATTATGTCATCACTCCCCACATAGGCATAAGCAGTGGTCCATTTTGTGAGCCTAATATAGATGTTTATGTGGTAGATTTCATTATCTTCCTTCATCCCCTCCTCAGAAATGTTTCTTTTCAAGTGTTCATTCCAGGCCCTGGATTTCAGATGAAATTCCCCTCTCAACCCCCATTGCCTCCACAATATCCCAGACATGGTACTGATCATGTCATTCTTCTTCATCTTTTGCAAGACAACTTTCCTTTCCCTTAAATATTTTTTTCCTTCCTTGGCTCCTCACTCTGCTTAACTCTCTCTATACCACCAGCTAAAACAAAACTCCCCATCTCCACTCTGTTGCTTGGGTTTTACCCAGCAGACCATACACTCCTCACAGCTTTGATGTTGTCATGGTGACACCAAGTCTCTCTCCAGAGGCAGCCTGACCTGGAATTACAGCAATGAGCCAATGTAGTAAATGCAACATGAAGTAAAAAGCTGGTAACTATGGATGACTCCTCTCATCACCGAACATGTAGGCAGCAAGAGAAAAACAATCATGGAAGGTCAAGCACAGGTTCAAGCAAAACCTTCTCTTGGTTTGGTTTTGTCCAAATTGAAGCCATTGGGGTTGACTTTGCACCACCCTTTGATTTTTCTAGTTGCAAATGGGCTTGCTAACTTTCCAAACTATGTCTTTTGAACATATGTCAAATCCATCCTTTAGGGCCATCCTAGGCTGTTTTCTTTCTTAATAAAAATAGGAAATTTCAATCTCTAGAGGCATAGATTTGTCTACTACATCCTGCCCACCAAATAATGAAACTGATGCTAAAAAAATGTGCTTTCTGGGCTTGATATTCTTTTCACTACTTCCTCCTTCATACACCAACCCCCAACTCTAGCTAATCAAAGATACCAGGTACCTCTGTCAAGCAAGCTTTCCCAAATATCCCTTGTAGCCTAAAAATATGTTTGGGGCCAGGTAATGTTTTTCTCATTTCTTGATAAAAAGCTGAAGAATAAAATAGATTTGTGCTTCAGTCTTGAAGGGGATGACTGAACATTTCTATTCCTTATCTCTAGCCATCAGGAGGAGCCAGGGCTACAGTCATGCTCTAAGCAAGGATTAAGATGGTAGGCCGTGAATCGCTTCCCAGACTGCTTTCACTGTCGCTGGGGGTGGGGCTTCCATCACATCCACATCTCCCTCTTGATCCCTTCTGCTGCCCATGGATATAGCTTTAAGTTCAAAGACTCCTCTGTGGTGCTCTTTAGAACCAAATTGCAGGTGTGGATAGAAATTCTGAAGGTTCGATTATGTATATCCCAGTACATCTGGGATCTTTGCAATTCCAGAGGAGAACGCTTCCTCTCACTCGCTACAGTAGATGAAGGTCATGTGGCTCTAGCACATTCTTCTGCAGACTGAATTTTAACCGTTCTATAAACATACTTGCTAACTCCAAAGACTGAGACACTGTGTAACTTTAAAACTGCATATGAGCTTAAGTAGCAGCAATGAAAGATAAATAGAATTATTTTCAAATAGATTAAATCCACACCCCAATTACATTTGAATGGAATGTATCCAATTGAGAGGATGTGTATAGTTAGGTGAAACAGCTATCTATACCAGACTCAATGATACTTCAGGGAATTTCTTTCCCAGAAGAAACAATTGAAGTGGTTTGTTTATGCCTTTATGGCTGTCTTAGTCTGGCTGCTTGAGCCCAGCCAAAACAAGTCATTCTGACAGAAAGTACTACCTCTTTTAGCAATCTATATCCTCATATCCTGGTTCACTGTATTCTGAGAGACTCTAGTCAATTTACTCATCCTGTTTTCTTTTTTTCTATCATTTTTCCCATTCTTCTGGATGCCATTCTCCCATCCTCAAATTTGTTGGTTTATTTATTTGCTTTTTTGTTTGTTACTTGCAGACTGCTGCCAAGCTAAGGACCAGTATATTGAACAGTTCAAAGATACTCTGAATACTTCGGTGGCCAAATCAATTGCTGGTTTTTTTGCAGAGCCAATTCAGGTGGGTATATTAGCCTGAGACATTAATTGAGCTCACTTTTAAATTATCAGGTTTTAATTCATACAACATTCTAGAGAGTTTTAAAATTATTTAAGTAACCATTACTATGTCCCTCTCCAAATTCATTCTCTTGGTCCCCCCCCCCAAAAAAAAGAACCCCTGATTTTCAATTGACCTTTTTAAAAAAAAAATCTCCTGCATTCCCAGGCTGAACAGATAGATATGCGTACATGAAACTTTTGAATTCCTAAAATTCTAAAGAAAAGGAATCCCCAATGATTTTAGTTGCATAACACCCACACTGTCAGGAGGAGCCTTTGTATAATCTTGCTAAATCCCCTTCATCTACTTTTTTTCTAATCTCAGAAAAAAAAATACATTTGCATCCTTTTCCCAGAAGGCATGGCATAAGAGTAATGGTCTCTTTTGTTACCCGTAGTTGAACCAGTTCTAGAGACTGTTCTAAAAATTGCTAGTACTATTAATGATAATGATGATAACCTATTTTCCCCTTTTAGTACTTCCAAAGGGCTGTGCTATTGTTATAGGTGTTCTTGCTGTGTTCCTTTGCAGGGGGTGAACGGATTTGTTCAGTACCCAAAGGGGTTTCTAAAGGAAGCCTTTGAGCTGGTGAGAGAGCGAGGAGGCGTGTGCATCGCGGACGAAGTAAGTGGCCATGGAATAGGTGTGATGTGATACAACAGGGACAGGAAAGGCACAGGCAGAAGCCTCTTTAAATGCTTCTCTGTATTCCAGGCAGAAAACACCTAGTGTGGAAATTTCAAGATGCGGGTATAAGTTAATGAAGCTTTTGTTGGTTGGCTGGTTAGATTGTTAGTGGGTTGGTTGGTCTGTGAACAAGTACATACTGCAGAATTTAAACACGCAAATTGAAGTCTATCAAATAAGCTGCTAATAGGCATAGGGGATGCTACCATCGCTCAAAATAATTTTTAATTTCGTATTTGGGGATATGTCAGGGACAGCTTAAAAACCACATAGAGAATGTAATCTCATAACCAAGTTTTCTTCAGATAGTTTTTGCCAAAATAGTATTAACCAGCCTGGCAGCATTCATCTTATCTTAATAACAAAACTTGTATGGAAATAATATTTAAAACAGAAAAAAAAGTCAGCCTCTAAGTCTGAAGAGCACCACCAATGCAGATATTTCAAAAAATAAAATAAAATAGTTTCCAAAATATTCTAAAACCGCTGGCATTCAGTCAGTATTGTTGGAACAAGCCTATAGTACCACCAAGGGGATGACTTTGAAAGGAACAAAATTCATGGGCCCTGTGATCTCCAGCCTGTGTGTTTTTAAAAGTGATCAATGTACTGATCACACCTCATAACAGCGTGTAGCAAAGAAAGCATTTTGCCTGCTGAGAATAGTGGGGATCAAAAGCCCAGAGGACGACCGCCAGGCCCCCAGAAGGGCTCCCGGTTCATTTATCATGGCTCACTCATCACGATTCTAACAATGATTAGGCCCACAAAGAACAGGGGGAGAATTTGTATGCTTCACACTCATTTCTGTCGTGCCATCTTTGCCTGAACAGTTTTCCTCAACTAAACATTCCCATTGCAAACATTGGGCCCTCCCCGCTCCCCCAGTACCTGCAGTGTCTTCTGCAGTTTCTGCATGTGCAACCAGGTCTCTGTCATCCCAGGAGGATGGGACAACCCCAGTGTACTGCACAGGGAAGCGTGGGCCAGCTCCTCCTCCATGCCCATCCCCCCTTCCCAACCTGCTGGTACAGGTTTAGGGAACATGAGCTAATCAAAGTCCTAGCTGAAGAAAGTTAGCCTGTTATTTTAAAAAAAAAGAAAAGTAGGGTCAGCCGAGTGGCTCAGTTGGTTAAGAGTACAAGCTCTTAACAGAGTCACCAGTTCGATTCCCACATAGGCCAGGAGCTGCGCCAGAGCTGAGCTGCCAACAGGTGGCAGGATGGCTCATCTGGTGAGAGTACGTGCTCCTAACAACAGTTGTTGGTTCAACTCCTGCATGGGATGGTGGGCTATGCCCGCCTGCAACTAAGATTGAACACAGAGGCAGCCGAGTGGTGCATTGGTTAAGAGTTGGCTTGGGAGCACCACCTCTGAGCATCAGGGCCCCGATTCAGACCCCACATGAGAGCCAATGACACTGTGCCCTCTACAGCTAAGATGGTGAACAACAGCTCGAGCTGGAGCTGGGCTGCCGTGAGTCGTTGGCGATGGCGTAGGCTGCAATGGGGCTGCAGTGGGCTCCCGTAAGCTACCTTGAGTGGCCAGCAGCCGGCATGAGCTGCCAAGAGCCACTGCGAATGGCCGTCCAATGGCCAGCGACCGATCTGCCTCACCCAAGAAGAGAGCAATGATAATACCAACATGGGCCAGTGAAGCAACATCCTCCACAACTAGACTGAAGAACAAAAGGGCAGCAACTCCCCCAATTCCCCAATAAAATCTTAAAAAAGAAAGAAAGAAAGAAAGAAAGAAAGAAAAAAGAAAGAAAGAAAGAAAAGGAAAGAAAGAAAGAAGAAAAGGGAGAAAAAGAAACAAAAAAGATTGAACACGGGACCTTGAGCTGAGCAGCCACGAGCTGCCCATGGGTGGCCGGATGGCGACTGGACTTGGAGCTAAGCTAGCTGCGCCCTCCACAACTAAGATTGAGGGACAACAACTTGGCTGTTCCCCTTCCCCAATTCCCCAACACTGTCCCCTTCCCCAATTCCCCAATAAAATCTTAAAAAGAAAAGAAAAAACAGAAAAGTACATTCAGTCAGTTTACAATGAATGACATCTGTGAGAACAAACAACTTTAACCTTCAGAATCAGCACAGTGAAGTTGCCGCAGTTGCACTAATTAGAGGGGAGGTAGAATTCAAAGAAAATGTGAATTTCAGAATTTTCTAAGCTATGTGGTTTTGTCACTTTCAAGAACGCAATTGGAAACTAACACAAAGTGACCTTAAGGAGGAAGGTCCTCATGACTAGATAAAGCTAAGAATGGCTGGAACTTGCTGAGTATTAACTGTGTGTCTGGCACTGTTGGTAATGCTTTGCATGTATTAACAGCTAACTCTCATTACAATTCTGTAAGGCATGTACAATTGTTATTATTCCCGTTTTATAGATGCTCATAAGTGAATTGAAGTCCAAGGTGGTGAGATCACCTGCGGTTAGTAGGGACAGAGACAGAACTCAAACCCGGGCTTCCAGACCACGTTAACCACGGGGCCAGGCTGCCTCTCAATGACAGCACGGTGGTGTCAGTGGTGTGGAAAGGCAAAGGCAGGCACGAAAAGAAGAATCAGGGGATGGAAAACCCGAGTGCGGGCCCAGTGCTGCCACCGAGTCATCTTACACAAGTCACCGGAGTTAGCTCACCTTGCTTTTCTCTTCATTAAAGTGAGGAATTTGGAACCAAAGATAGAAAATTGGCTGCCTCTTGGGGCTAAAATTGGGGCTACCTGGGAAGCCAGTCTTTTCCAGTCTGGTCTGGCATGGACTGGTTTAGATCTGAAAGTGACCACTTTAAGGCAGGGCGTGCACACCCCAGGCCTGCTCACTGTCCTAGACCTGGCCTGCTTCTCACGCATATGTGCTCCTCACCTCCAAAGAAATTTGAGTTTATAAACCTTAAAATGAGTCTTCTCTGTTCTACTGAAAGCGTCTATAAAACTGATATTTCCTAGGTGACTAAACATGGCTTATTGTCCTACATAATTTTATGCATTATCCAAGCATTCTGATTTTCTACCATTTATTTATGATACTGAAGATAGATGGGGTTAAAAAATGAAGGCAAGAAGACAAACTGAATGGATTTTCCATGAGCTCCTCCTACACTGTCTCATTTGGGCAGATTCGTCAGCTTACCCAGAGGCCCATAACTAGGAAGCGGGAGACCCAGGACGCCAGGCCGGGTCAGAGTGACTCCCGTGTCGAAGCTCTTCTACGCTGTTTACCATCACCTACTTCTAACTCCTGAAATCTGCCTCTGCAGCAGTGCCCTGCAATGTGTGCCTGTGTGGAGAGACAGAGATAGACAGACAGACCAAGAGGCTAAGAGCCAGACAAAAATCACCAAAGCTTCACCAGAGAGGCTCTGGCAGAAATACGCATGGAAATGTTTACGTGGCTTGCTTCAGTTAGGCACTGCTGCCACCTTTGTTCATTTTGCAAACACTGAGTGGCATCAGGCACTCTGCTAAGGGTTGAGGATAGAAAGAGGAATAAGATACTGTCCCTGTCATCAGACATGGACACTGGTGATAATAGTCCAAGGTGAGACGTTCTGAGGGCAGCATGCCTTTGAGTGGGGGCCCTACGGGGCTCAGGAAAATCTTCTTAGACCAAATGATGATAATGCTGTGTTTCGAAGGACAAGAGGAGTTAGTGAGATGAAGCAGCAAGGAGAGAGAGGGAACAGCATACACAAAACAACTGAGGTCAACTCAGTCCAGGCCTGAGTGAACTGGCTCAGCTAGGTCCTCCTCATGATGTAATTCTCAGGGAGAAAAAGGGGGTTCCAGGAAAGAGCATGACTAGCCTATCTGCACCGGGCAGCAGGTGCCGCAGCCCTGATGCACTTACTGTAACTCCTGCCTCAGCCAGCCGGGCCAGGCGCCACCTCGCCACTCCTCTCCCCTGCCACCCTGCACACAGGAGACCCTTATTAAGAACGCCTACTCATAATGATCCTTTATATGACCCTCACGGCATCCCTGTGATATACTGCTATTAGTATTGCTATTTAACAGAGTTATCGTAGGTTCAGAGGACTTAAGAAACAGATCCAGAATCACACAAAGCTAGTAAATGGTTTTGGGTGCCTAAAAGCTCAGGCACAGATTAAGTGCTTTGTCCATAATAGTACAAAGACAGCGGTGACAGTGGCTGCGATGACAGTATTGAGGAGGAGAGAGGAGGAAGATAAAAGTGAAGAGATCAGAAAGTCAGAAAAACCAGCGTTTCTTAAAGGTTTCCAATCATTTTGGATTTGCTTCCTTCAGGTGCAGACAGGGTTTGGAAGGTTGGGCTCTCACTTCTGGGGTTTCCAAACCCACGGCGTTCTGCCAGACATTGTCAGCATGGCTAAAGGGATCGCGAATGGCTTTCCCATGGCAGCAGTTGTGACAAGTCCAGGTAGGACCTCCTGGGCAGTTTGTGTTTGCTTCTGGGCCACCTGTATCAGCAATGGTAAAAAACACATGTATTGGAATTTGTGTGGCTCGGGAACAGCAACGGGGACAACACATCCATTTCGTAAGCAGTGAAAAAGAGAAACCGTCTGTCTTCCAGACAGGAAAGCATGCGTAGCCCCCATATCTGTCTCCTACCCATCCTGAACAGAAGAAAGCAAGCCAGCTCTTTGTTCTTGCTGGTAGGGAAAATGAATTCTCCTGCCCCACAATGAAAGGCAGGGTTCGACCATAATGACGAGGTAAAGGAAATGTGTCACATAAATAAGACCAACACAAGAGATCCTTTGTAACCAACCTGAAGCCAACCCTGAAATTTCCAAGGGATTCATATTCCGGAAGGAAGTTCTTACTTGGTCTTGCCATACCAAGAAGCTCTAAACTCAAGGTCCAGAGCAATAGTTTTCTCTGTTGATATCTTATCCACAAAACAGCCAAATACAGTACAGTCTCACTTAGTCAGGACATTCTATGAAGTGAACATTAGAATTAACTGAATTTTTCATTTTAGTTAGGTTTTATAGAAAATTGTTTTTATGAACCATTTAGTGTTGAAAATCTTAAAATTATTTCATTTGTTTTTCCCACACTTCGGAGGTGCTAAAGGATATTTAAGTGCCTTGTGATAGCTCATTGTTTTTGCTGAATTACTCAAGGTACAAAAAATATGGATGTAGAAGGCCAAGTATAATGAACTGAATATATACTCACCCTGAAACAATCCAGAAATTATGTTACTAAATCTTTGATGTAATTTTTTAAATATATTTCCTTCTTAGTCCCGAGAGTAGAAGACAAAAAGAAATAGTTTTAGCTAATGAAGATCTCCATGTAAATCCCATAAATCGAGTTTTAAGGTCCTTTTCAGTTCAGACAACCCATTAAAGATTTTGTTGTCAAACTTCTCATTGAGTAAATAAGCAATTTTTCCTTATCCACTGTATTACGAGTTAGGGCTACCATAACAAGATACCACATATACCACAAGATACTGGGTTGCATAAACAACAGACATTTATTTTCTCACAGTTCTAAAGGCTGGAAGTCCAAGATCGAGGTGCCGGAAGAATTAGTTTCTGGTGAGATCTCTGTTACAGATAGCCGCCTTCTTGCTATGTCCTCACGTGTTCTCTTCTGCAGAGAGAGAGCGAGCTCTGGCCTCTTCTTATGAGGACACCAGTCCTATTGGATTAGGATCCACCCTATGGCCTCATTTAACCTTAATGCTTTCCTGAAGGCCTTGTCTCCAAACACAGTCACATTGTCGGTTAGGGCTACCACATATGAATTGGGGGAAGGGCAAAATTCCATCCATAAACTCCATTATCTGGTGAGCGAAGAATGAATTGGACATGATGTCATCCATGACATGAACATAAATGTAATCCAAATGTTGTGATGGGAGATTGTAGATGATGTGTCTGTCACTCATTATCCACCTTTATTTTCTCCCTCTAGAGATTGCCAAGTCTTTAGCTAAAAGCGTGTTACACTTCAGTACCTTCGGAGGGAACCCCATGGCTTGCGCCATTGGATCCGCCGTGCTTGAGGTACATGCCAGCAGCCAAAGTAACGTCACTCGTTTCGCAAAATGACTACTTCAAAGCCACACACACCCGGTATCAGAACTCTATCATATTACATTATCAAAGTGGAGAGTAAATTCTACTTCATGAATTTAAGTTAGATGTCTAGTTATTATTCTGACACCTGCACTTTTTTTTAAGATCTAGTTTTGGAGCTTGAATTACTGAATAAGAAATATATAGTAAACCTCACATGCATGGGAAATGAAAGAATTCCCCTAGCTAGCCGGTAGCACTGAAATTTGTTAAGTGGTATTTTGTGGATAGTTATCAACTGCTATCCTTGATTTCAGTTTAGTTTTGGCCCTGTTTTATATATTCTCCCTTCCTTTTTTTTTGCAGTCATAAATTAAAAGACTGAAGAGAAACTGAGTGCTGTGTGATTACAGCTAGGTAATTCAGGTGGTGTTCAGCCCCACTCCATTGCTTTCGCCTGGGGTTTCATTTGTAGAAAAATATTTTTTAAATGTCCTTGCTAATATGCATAATAACATTTGCTTAAATAAGTATAATACATTTCTGGAAGGATAGTCAAGAAACTAATACCGGCTGTTGTTTGTGGGGAGGGGGACTTGGGGGCTGGGAGGCAGGGGTCAGTAAGGGTTATTCTACTCCATACACTGTTACACTTCCTGATTTTTGAACCACACACATGATTCACCTATTCAAAAATTTAAATTTAAAAGTATTTCTAAATAAAAAATAAGTAAAAGCTGCCCTAATTAAAAAGTATCTTCAAATATAATGAAATCATTCAATGAGAAAGTGTGGGTAGAAATGTGCCATTTATTTCATTTTGTAGACATTGCCAACTCTTTTTTTTTTAAATGCTATGTCACCTCAGCCAATTTAGAATGTAGTGAGGATTTAGGTGGACAGAGAAGGTCTTAAAAACATCAAGGTTTTTCCTGGAGTCCTGCAATTATTATCAGCTAAATAGAAACGTAGCATATTACATGTACCTTATCGAGAATCCCAGGTCTCTGCTGTGAGCACCAAGTAGGTGAAAATCCTCCTCTGTCTTCAGGTGCCCTGACTTTGGGCCCACACAGAGCTCTGCTCAGCTCAAGAGGCCAGGGCCCTGCAGTGAGGCATGTGGGCAATGTCAGCCTGTCTGTCTGGCAGCTGAAAAGGCCAACAAGCCCCCAGTAGGGCAAGCATCTGTGATATTTCTTTCCTCAGAGCATTTGTCTTATTCACCACTGTATCCCAGGTCTTAGCAAAGCCTGGCAATAATAAACCTCAGGATTATGGAATCTGTGTTACAGGCTGCATTGAAACATGTTTTCTATTCTTTCTTAAATTCCCTGAAGATGAGGATGGGTTGGGGAAAGTGTCCCTCCTACCAAGGCCTTTTTTCTCTTTATGCTAATCTTTTTGTAGTACATGGTATGGCCACCCTTGACTTCAGGTTCCATTTGTCTGGTCAATTTTCTGTAAAGAAGGTCATACACATTTGCCTCTCCATGTTTCTTAACCAATTTTAGAACTTTTTTTGGGGGGGCGGGGGTGTCTTTCTCTCAACAGGTGATTAAAGAAGAAAATCTACAGAAAAACAGTCAAGAAGTCGGCACCTATATGTTGCTGAAGCTTGCTAAACTGCGGGATGAATTTGAAATTGTCGGGGATGTCCGCGGCAAAGGCCTCATGATAGGAATAGAAATGGTGAAGGATAAGGTAGGTTCTGCTGCCCTTTCTGTGGGTTTGTGGGACAGCGATGGTTAAAGTAGGAAGCATCTGTGCAAGCTCATCGCATTCATTCTCAGGGAGAGAGCACACAGGACAGCAAGAGTGTTGAACATGAACAAAATGCTAGCAGGTCGTCAAAAGTTATCTAGAGGGGTGAGGGAGGTCATTTGGAAAAGGGAACCAGTATTATTCTTGCCAGACGAGGCAAAGAACATCAGTGATGACTGAAGATTTAGAATTACAAATATAGAGAAGAGAGGAAATTAATTAGGGAGAGAGATGGTGGCCCAAAGAGCAAGTAGAAATAAAGGAGAAGAGCCAGGAAAAGGTTATGGTGATGGTTTGGGGTGAGGATGTTAAAGATCTATAGGGTTTTGTGGTTTTTGTTTGTTTGTTTGTTTATGGATTTCAATCTCCCAAGTAAACAGGGAGGAATGTGACTTTCTGATGACAGTCCCCACCGTGACCTCAAACTCAACACAACAACAATTGAACTTAGCATTACCCCCCACACCAGTTCTTCCTCCCAAGTTCACTGCTTCTGTTTCTACCCTCCACTGTTCTCCCAATTACCCACCCTCAACACCACAAAATAACCTATGATTGCTTCTCTTCCCCTTATTTCTAATGTCCAGTGCTGTTGATGGTCTCTTTGCCATGTCTCTCAAATCCTTCCCTTTGTTTCTACTGGGATCCTTACTTCTATGTCTGTAGGAAATTGTCCCTCCCCTCCATAAAAGCAAAGCCTAGATCCTCTGAGGAGAGCAACAGTAGCTGTGCTACAGGAGACAAACCAGTGGCGGCAACAGCACTGGGCACTCAAGATAGGATCATAGCAGTAGTTCTCAGCCCAGCTACCTGAGCAGCATTTTACAAATACAGATGCCTAAGCCCTGCTGCAAATATTCTAAACCGATAAGCCTGGCGTGGGGCACAAATATCTGTAGTCTGAAAAGGCTTCCAGGTAATGTAGACACACAATCAGACCTGAAACCACTAAGCTAGAGCAAGGAGCATGTACTCACAGACTCAGAATACAGGAGACACACAAAAAGCCCACAAGCCCCCAGACCAATGTCAGGGGTGCTGGCATGTCTGGACCCACAGGGAGAGACAAACTTCAGATGTCTAGTGACCTGAAACAGCCTCTTAGCTCCCAAAGCCCTTGCTTTTCCTAACCCTGGGGGACTGAGTCTTGGGGGAGAAAACAAATTCCATATGCAGGGAATGTCAGGACAAATGGGCCCACCCCAGCTGCCCAGGCCATGTTGTGGCTCAGGGGAAAGTTGGCTATTGTACCTTGTACAACTTCTGACCCATTTCCTGGACTTTGAAATAAGCTCTCCACGTGAACAAAACAAAGTGAAGAGTTGAGGAGAATTTCCACATAAATGACACAGACTCCAAATTCCGCCATTAAAGAACCAAGCTCCCAGGTCAGCCTTAGCAAAGCCAAGATTCACCAGCTGTCTGATTCAACTTCATTTTGTCTTTGGGAATTTGGGGTGAATTGGGATTAAAACAAATACTGAATATTATCAATAATAAATATTATTAATATTTAATAGCATGCCCCCAAAAAATCCAGTCCAGCAATTAATAGCTTTATTCAATTATAGAGGGAGAAAGAGGTTAAGAGCAAGAGGGGAGCATGGATTGTTTGAGTTGCTTTTCTTTTTCTCTTGAAAATGTCTTTAACTATTCAAACACCAAATAAGAATATTTTTAAATGTATTTACAGATGAGTCGCCAGCCTCTTCCCCGTGAAGAAGTAAATCAGATCCACGAGGACTGCAAACGCATGGGGCTTCTAATTGGCAGAGGTGGCATTTTTTCCCAGGTAAGAGAAAGGCTGGCCTTTACCTACCACTTTTTGTAGGCATCTCCCTGATGTCCCAATGCTGGTCACTTTCCTTTACGACTATGCTAAAGGACCCAAGCCCCAGTTCCCCTAAGGCATAGTTCTGACATTTTCAAAAGAAAGTGTCAGTGAGGCCTTTGGGCCACGAGGGGGCGCTGTGTTCAAACGGTTTGGTTTTCGCGGTTCTGTGGGGACTAGATACAGAGGAGAGGCTAATGAGGCATACACGAGATGTACAAACCAGAGGATTTACAGTAGAGGTCATAATAGGGTCACAACAGTCACGGAGTAATTTGTCCCATGTGTGAATTAATTCTAACTCCTGTAAGAGCAACCCTAGTGCTCTTGTCTGAGCCCTGGGCTCTGACCCTGTGATCCCTGAACCTGCTAAGGCTGAGTGGCACCGTGGCCTGGCACAACCTAACAGGGCTGGCAGGCCCAGGTGACCCTGCAGGAGACTTGAGGGACTACCTTGGCCCGGTCCCTGATGCAGAGCTCAAAATCAGTCACTCCCAGGGCCCTTCACCCTCAGGCTGGGAGATGCAGAGACCAAGCTCTCCGCGCTCCCCTGCTGGGAGCCAAGAACAGTTCCACTGAAAGCCAAGCCGGGGCGATGGTGCTGCCCTGCCTGTGAGCATGGGTTGCTGCTAATGTTGGGAAAGTAATCAGCCCCTAGACCCCTCACCAGGGATTGGTTCTGGGGCAGAGATTTAAGATTTAGGGTAATTTCTGCTTCTCCACTAATTTGTTCTTGTTCTTAGTCATCTTTTGTTCCCAATTGAAATGTCAGTCATTCTTCCCTGCTCCATTCCTGTGTCTCGCTCTACTTTGGAGACTACTCTTGCCTCATACTTCTCAGAGAAAATGGAAGCTGTTAGGCAAGATCTCTATATAAACTCACCTGTCCCCACATCCATTTCTTGCCTCCTTTCCTGAAGTTTCAGACAATGAGGTGTCATTCCTGCTCAGATCTAGATTTTTCTACCCATGCTCTTGACCCTCAACACTCCCTGCACCCCCACTCAAGGAAACATCACTGTGTTCTCTTGTATCTGCAACTTTTCCTCAACTCCTCCTCAGCCTGTAAACAAATAGGCTTAATGCTCTCTCGGCCCAGACCAAGCTGTACCCACAAAACCGAAATGAACGCTAGGACACGCTTGGTGAATTTTTTTCTCATCCTGATTGCAAAATCTTTCTGTACAAATCAGACAACATAATGATTAAAAAATCCTAAGATGTGCAACTTATAAAGACATAAAACAATGATTAGTTTACTTGCTTAGTTATTCCTTAGTAATCTGGCAAACACTTAAGAGCTGATCAGCATTTGCTATGCTGGGTACTCAAGCTGCAATGGTAAATAAGATCTGGTGCCACACACACACACACACACACACACACACACACACACTTCATGGAGCTGGCAGGAGACAGACATATAAACAGAAAATTACAATACAACATAGTAAACTCATCCATAGCTATAAAAAGGAGTATTATAGAGGGAACAAGAAGGGACTCCTAGGCCAGCCTTTCTGACTAAGCTGAGACTTAAGCAATGAGATAAACACTCAGAGGACATGTAGAAATATGGCAAAGAGCTACACACACACGAGTGTGACTGGAGCATACGGCTTGAGGCAGTGAGTGGTAATAATAAGCAGCCTCACTGCTTGTCAGGCACTGTTCTAAACAGTATTCATGTACTGGCTCATTTAATGTGTTCAACAAGCCTAAAAAGTAAGTATGTTGTTATCCTTATTTTACAAATGAAGAAAAAGAGACACAGAGAGGTTAAGTAAATTGCCCAAGTCACACAGCTAGTAAGTGGCAGAACTAGGATCCAAACTCAGGCAGTCTGATATCCGAATCTGTCTTCTGAGGAGGATAAGCCTGAGGAGTCAAGGCTGGAGACAGGAAGTCCAGGGGGCGGCTGCTGATGATGTTTGAACTTGAGCAGTAGTGGTAGTAATAGAGGAGATGCTCTGAAAACAACCCTGGAAGTGCAATAAATGCACAGGACCTGGGGGGCAGCCAGTCGGCTCAGTTGGTTAGAGCACAGTGCTTATAACACCAAAGGTTGCCGGTTCGATTCCCACATGGGCCACTGCGATATGCCCTCCACAATGGGATGAAACAACTACTTGACTGAGATGCGCCCTCCACAACTACTTGACTTGGAGCTGATGGGTCTTGGAAAAACACACTGTTCCCCAATAAAAATAAATAAATAAATAAATAAATAAATAAATAAAACTTTTTTAAAAATGCACAGGACCTGGATGTGAAGAATGTAGTAGAGTCAAGGACGAATCTTTCACATCTAACTTGCCTTAGGAAGGGTGAGGATTAGTTCAGCTTTCAACATGCTCCATTTCAGGGGTTTATGGGCATCCGTTTCTACAGACAAGTCTGTGGCTCGGAGGAAAGGGCTGCAGTGAAGATCACGATTTGGGAGTCATCAGCATACAAGTGGTGACATGAAGACATCCCCTGGGGGTTGTGTCTAGATGAAAAATGCAGTGAGATGAGGCTAGAAACCTGTACACCAACCTTGAAAGGGCAGGGGGAGGAAAATGTTCCTAGGTGGTGACAAAACCTAGGGTGGAGAGGTGTAACAAGAGCTAGGAGAGTGTGCAGTCATGGATGCAAGACTGTGGGGAGGTTCAGGAAGAGGGAGGGACCGAAGTGCCAAGTGCAGCAGAGAAGCCCAAGAAGGACAAAGATAGAAACATGCCATTGGATTCTATCACTAAGCAGATCACTGGTATCTCTAGCTAGAGTGGTGTCAGAAGGGCTAGGGGCAGAAACCAGGCCTCAGTAGGTCAAGACTGAACAGAGGGAAGGCAGAGTGAAAAATGATGGCCAAGAAGCATCCACCGGTCTTTTTAGTCAGTTTGGATAAAAGAAGAGGATAGCATTTGTATGGTAGTGAGAAGGGGCCAGGGGGAGTCAACAGATTTTTATTTGGTGTAATTTGGATGTTGGTGGTGATGAGAGCTTAAGCCTGCTTGTTTATAGGCTGAGGGAGGGGCAGTCAAAGAAAATTTGAAGATGCAAGAGAACACAGGGATGGCTCCCAGAGTCAAGGTGATGGGAGTGTCAAGGTCCAAGAGCACAGGTGAAAATTTTGGAGTTGCATAGTAGAGACGCCTCATTCTCTGAACCTTCAGGCCAGGAAACAAGCACTGATGTAGGAACAAGAGGTTTATAGAAAAATATGGCGTGACAGTTTCTGAGAAGCACGAGGAAAGACTGTCTATGAAATAGAGTCAGGCGCGTAGGCGTCGAGCAAGGACATTGAGAATCATAAAGGTTTAGAATGGGAAAGGAAGCTGACAGGGAACTAGAAAAATGTAGGGGAGCAGCAGAAGTTAGAGAGCCTGCATATCTGGTGGTGTCAGTCTGCCCAGCAGCTCGCCTTTCTTTAACATTTCTCAACTACCTATGTTGGCGCAAAGCTGTTCAATTATAGCCTCGATCAGGGCTGGGACGTGGCATGTGGGCGCAGAAGCAGACGGGTGGAGATGCAAGCAAAGTGAGGGGGTAGGTGAGAGAGCAGTTCCATCACTCATGTGCTCCAAGCTGGGCAGAAAAGAAAGGAAGAGGGCTGAGTGGGGTGATAGATCTGAAGCTAATGGAGGGGTGAAGGGACTAAAGTTTTCATGAAAAGGGCAGACGTAATGGGAATCAGAAATTGAATTATTCCTAGTGGAGAGGAGGCTCATGGCGCTGGCCTTGGGTGTGAGCAGATGAAGAGGAGAGGAGATGAAGGTTCTGGGAGCTGTGGCCATCAAGAAACCGAGAAGCTAGATTGTTGGGTTGTACACACAGACATTGAGGTCACCCTCAGTGATGGCGGAAACGGAGTGTAGGTGGGTACCTAAGACCTCAGTGAAGACAGTGGAAGGACCGTGCAGGTGACAAAAAGGCAAAGGAGCAGAACCTGATGGTACCAGAACTTTTAGGAGACAGGAGGTTAAATGGCCTGGGTACAGCATTAGGGAGAAAGGACATCATGAGGGAAATATAAGACATGTCATAAAAGCAAGGTTTGGGGTTCTTAGTTTAGTGCATTTCCTTGAAGTTCCATTTGAGTCTCTGATGATCGTTGTTCTATTTCCCTTTGTCTCCTCAGACATTCCGCATTGCGCCCCCGATGTGCATCACTAAACCAGAAGTTGATTTTGCAGTGGAAGTATTTCGTTCTGCGTTAATTCAACACATGGAGAGAAGAGCCAAATAAAATTTTAAAAAATTATAAAACCATAAGCCTCAAGAACGTCCCACTTATGTTCAGGAGCTAATTTGAGGAATTTCAGAATCGCTGGTATAAGTTGTAAAAGGTGACTGCCTACAAGCCATACTTGTTAACAGAGCCTCTATTATGTTGAGAAATCCATCCTTCAGGAAATCTATCACTAGTGCAGAGAATAAATCCTAATTAGTCTAGGTTAGTTATGGTAATTTGATGTCCCTTTGTGGCGATTGGTTTATGCATGATATGTGATGTATTATAGGACAATAAATCCTGAAGGAAAACCTTTTGGTGGAGGTGGCTTCAAGGAAAGGTTTCTTCATCCTTCGCTCTTCATCTCCACAAGAAATGTTTTCTCCTTGCACTGAAGCATCATATGTCATGATGGGACTGCTCCAACCACATCAGCCTTGTCTGGGGGCTGTTTGGTATATGAGATGATAAATTCACTGTATTGCACAAGTCTTTTTGATTTAAGTTTTCTGTCATTGCAGCCATAAGCATCCTGAGAAATGATGTAGAAAACACCCAAAATCCTTTAACTCTCTTAAAATGCCTATCAGAGACTTCTCCATTTCCACTGTCATCATCCCACTATGGACTAAACCCTCATTATTCCTATTGCAGTTGTCTCTGATATGAGAATTTCCCAAAATTCAGTCATTAGAATGCACATTCATCATGGGTTCCCTCCCCGCCCCCGCTCCGCCCATGTGTATATCACCTGTCCTAGAATTGACTTAATATTTGTCCTTAATTTGACTTTGTTCACTTGAATGTGTTTGATCAAAACCTTTCCATAATTATAATAAATGAGAAATCAGTACTACTTGTCAGAATTAGAAAGTAATCATGAAAATAGAGTGAATGCAAAGCAATGTAACTCAGTTCTAGTGAGAGTAGGTAGCTTGCAGCTGTTCTCAGCCTGAGGCTAATTCTCTCTTTGTCCTAAAGGGAAATGAGAGAGTATTTGGGGGATGTTGCTAAAAGATACTGGCAAAGTGCGACCCTCTCCTTAACACAAACAAAGAGGGCCCACAGCACTGAAAGGAAAATCATTTTCTCAGCATGCAATGCGATGGTAATTTAAGCTGTCCCTATTTGAAGCCATGTCCTAAAGGTCTACTCCCTGAGGTGACTGTTTCCACTAACACATCCTATACGTCACTGCCAGGTTTGTCACCCTCAAGCGTTGACTTAAACATGACATTCCTTTGCAAAAAGCCTTCCAGTTGCTCCCCATTGTTCTGTGGATAAGACGTCCATGTCCTCCAGTGTCCAATGTCCAAATACAGCGAACCACTAGATTTATCATTTTGTAATTTATGTAAATGCCTAACCACTGTGTATACCTGAAACTAATGTAAAATAATACTGAATGTCAACTGTAATTTTTTTTAAAATATAGATATATAGATATAGATGATGTAGATATAGATATAGTTAGATATAGATATAGATACAGATATAGATATAGTCATGGGATGTAAAGTACAGCATAGGGAATATCGTCAATGGTATTGCAATAACTATGTATGGTGTCAGATGGGGAGTAGACTTGTTGGGGTTATCACTTTGTGAGGGATGTAAATGTCTAATCATTAGGTTGTTTTGTACACCTGAAACTAATAAAAAACAAACAAATGAGTAAACAAATAAATAAAATAAAGCAAAAACAAAACAAAGATTGCAAACACTTTGGAATGCTCTGTTTTGGCGCAGTGGAAAGGTCATTGGATTAAGAGCAAAATGATCTGAATTCTAAAGTCAGTTCTTCCACTCATTTGCTATAGACAATCTTGGGCAAGCTTTAACCGCTTTTGAACTTCATTTTGTTCCCAGATACATCAATACTTGCCCTTCCTACCTGCTGACTTGTCTTGGGAATTGAGTAAGGTAATGGATATAAAGTGTTTTGCAGGGCCGGCCGAGTGGAGCATTGGTTAGGAGTTGGCTTGGGATGCCAGCTCTGAGCAGCAGGGCCCCGGTTTGGATCCCACATGAGGGTCAGTGACGCTGCACCCTCTACAGCTAAGATGGTGAACAATAGCTCGACCTAGAGCTGGGCTTCCGTGAGTCGCCAGCGACGGCGTAGGCTGCAGTGGGGCTGGGCGGCAGTGGGCATGAGCTGCTGTGAGCCCCAGTGAGCAGCCGTCCAATGGCTGGTGAGCAACTGCCTCACCTGGGAAGAGTGCAATGATAACATCAACATGAGCAAATGAAGTGATGTCCTCCCCAATTAGACTGAAGAACAAAAGGACAGCAATTTGTCTGTTCCCCTTCCCCGATTTCCCAATGCTGTTGCCCTCCCCCAATTCCCCAATAAAATCTTTAAAAAAAGTGCTCTCCAAACTAATGAACTATGCAAATAGCAATATCTCCCCTGAAAGCTACATTTCTCTTCTTTCCTGCACTACAAAATCTCCCAAGAGCAGTTTGGGGGCTCCATTTATATTTTCTTGCCTCCTTATCTATGTTTCAACTCCTAAAATCTCATTCCTGCCTCTCATTTCTTGGAAACTGCCTTCTCAAAAGGCCATTAGAGACTTCCTTATGGTCAAAACTTAGTGTTTCTTGGAATGTTCTTTCTAAGCAACTGCCCCTTCTTGAATAAAGTTTCCTTGGCTTCTGCAATGTGATCCTTATATCTCAGGTGGCTCCTTCTCTCTCTCTCTCTCTGTCCTGGCAACCCCTCCTCTACAAGGTTCTGTCTTGGGCCATCTCTTCTTCCATGCTATGCTCTCTTCTCTGTAGGAACCTCATCTACTTCAGAAATTTCACCTATCTTGCCCATGCTGATTGACTTCCAAATATTTATCTTCAGTCTCAACCTTTTTTCTGAGCCCAACCGCAAGACTCTAACTACCTGGGCACATTCATTTGGCTGTCACAAGGACACTTCAAATTAAACATTTCTAACACAAAACACACTAAATATCTCTTCTCCAATGAATCCATTTTTGATTAATTGTACACATTTTGTTTTCGGCTCAAACTTTAGGTCATTAATTTTCTCCAAGTTATCTTTTTGCCCTTCATATAACTAAGTCTCATAAATACTTTCTATAACATAATTTTTCTGCCTTATTCTGGGCCATCATCATCTGTCCCTTAACTGGTATCCTGGACTCCTTCCTAACCCTTCTACACTAATACCAAAAAGTCACTTACTAAAAGGATCAATATGATCACATCTCTTATCTCTTGAAGCCTTTGAGGGCTCCCTGTTGCCTGTGGAGCAAAGTCCAAACTCCAACTATTATGGCACTTACGACCCTTCACAATTTGTCCCCAAACCAATCTTTCCAGCTTTACCCCTGATGTTTTTTTCCATGTCACATGCTGGTTCTTTGCTCCTGTAGTTCACTCTACCTGGACTGTTCCTCCCCTTTCTTTTTGTCAGTGGAAACTATGGGGTCAGGGAGATTGGACAAGAAAGCCAACCCTTACTTCTTAGTTATTCTTCAAGGCCTTCCCACTTTCAATATTCCTTTTCTTGTATCTTAAAATGAAAGGACATTAAAAATAAATCAATAATAATCATTTTGAAATTGGAAGAGAAAACAATAAAACTCAAATTTAAAACAGAACAAAAAGCCAAGGCCCCTGCCAGTGCCAGGTCATCATGTCCTGGAGGAAGGGAGCTGAAGGGTTTTATCGGTCAGATAAATTCATAGAACACAATCTTTGTGGCTTCCTGAGTCTTACAGGATTTTGTGTATGTATCCCCTGTTAGTCTCCCACCCCGGGGAACAGTGAAGAGTAAAAGCCAGCAATGGAATTCTGAAAGGTAGCCAGGCCCTGGGGTTCATTCCTTGACTATGAAGGTTGCATGGCTCTATCCGAGTGCTTGTTGGTCAGGATAAACTGCTCCTCTCCCCTGACAAGCAGTTGGGGATTTAAGATGCATTAACCATCAGAGGCAGGGAGCAGCCAGGGAAAAAATGGTGGCCCAAGAGTGTGTATTCATTTCTTTCACTAGTCTATAAACATGATGGTTTCCTACTTGTTTCCATTTGGCACCGTGGGCAGGCGTTTAGCACCGTCATTTCTCTCCCTTCCATTTTCTGCTCTCCCCACAGGAGGTGGGATGTAAGCCAGATGACATAAGGCAAGGAGCCCACACTCTTGCCAAGCTCTTTTACTTCCTTTCTTGTAAAAACTGTCTGAAGTAAAGATAATGAACACTCAGCTCAAGTAAACTTTTTTCCACACAAGGAACATATTGACAGTTAATCATGTGATTAGAAGATAACATTAAAATGTTGGCAACTATTCGAAAACCCTTGGAATGTCAATCCACTCAGGAAGTAGTTACTTTTTAAAAAAGATTCACTTCAAGCTTTGGTTACACCATCAATAATTATTATAAAGAGATGGAAAATAACACTCGTAAATTGGTAATACAGTAATACACTATGCTCTTATGTTACGAAGCTCCATCTTTTACATCAGCATAGTTTTCGACTCTTCAGTACTTCAAGCTAACCTCAAAAAGTATGAGAGGACTTAATTCTTCTTCCACCTGTAAGTCCCACTTAAATCCCACCTTTCCTGCTAAGAACAACAAAAGAATACTAGAGAACATCACGACCTTCGCCATTTCATCATCAGAGCGTTCGTGCCAGAGCATCATAGCCATTGCTCAGAAGTTCGTTTAAAAGCAGCAGGCTGAAGCCTCACTTCCAACTAAGGCACAAACAATGAGAATGACATAGCTTCGCCACCATTAAAAACGGGAGTAGAGCATCCTACAACACAAAGTATCTCAACAAAAGCAGAAGGCCCGCCTAACTTAGTAGGCGTGAAGACAGAAACAAAAGCTTAATTCTACAAATCCTTTCAGGTCTAGTGAAGATAGAGTAGGTGTACCTGGGTCTGACTGGTAGAACAGAAGGCGTCGTGCTAGTCATCCATGCTGAGAACAGCCATGAAAAGAGATGTCAGGAACACAGTTTAATCAGGAACTTGTTGAGGAGGTCATTGCAGAGAGCAACTGATGTAAACACAAACTTTTAATTAGATGGGGCAACACAATGCAATGGAGGGAGGCTGCACAAGCTCTCGTGGTGATTTGTTTTGGGCAAATTAACCTCTCTGAGCTGAAGCTTGCTTGGGTCCAAAAAGAGGATAATGTAACCCCATAGAAACCTTGTGAGGATTTAAATAAGAAAATACATGGGCACCTGCTCAATTAATATGAACTCTTTCCTTACATCACTTTTCTTTTAACACAGAACTTCCTCAGGTGGCGCTTGGCTCTCTCATCTCGCTAACCAGACGCTAAACTACTGGCAGGGTAGCCTTGTCTTCTCCATCTTCATATACTTAAGGCCAAATGCAAGGCTCCTCACAGAAAGGTAAATACTAACTCCTAACGGTGCTGTGTGCTACAGTGTTACCAACAGTTTAAAGCAGAAATTAGCCCCCCTGAAATAAACAATTAGCCATCTGATATGGCTTTCATATGTATGTGTGTGTGTATTTATATGTATGTGTGTGTATTATATATATATACACATACATATGTATATTTAGAAACATGTATAATATATAATTAAAAACATAAAAATATATTTAAAAATACGTATTTAGAAATGTCGTGCATTGGTTTTTGTTTAGTTTGCTCCCTGATGCTGGTGTGCCCCAGAAGTTTTTACCTTGACCTCTTTTTTCCTCTCTGTATACTTTATATGTACATTTCATCCATTATCCATGTTGGCTTTACTATGCAGATGCTGAGAATTCCCAAACATATCTCCAAGGCAACGTCTGCCTGGCTTGTAGACTCCAGTTGTCAGCAATTCGTTGAACGTCTTCCCCCAGTACCTACTGCATCCCCTTCCTCCTCCTTGGGGCACCTCTGCTGTCCTGGCCTCAGGAGATAGTATTTAAGCCAACTGCCTTCTTTGCTGTCCATATCTGATGCCAGTAATTCCCCCACCCACCCTAACTAGTCTTGCAAACTCATGATGTTCGCTTACCTCCCTGCCATTCCTTTGTGCTGCCCCATTTACCGACTGATCACAGCTTTCCTGTCTCCTTTAACTGTCCCAGCTTGGGCTGCCATGGCTGACTGGGACAGTGTCATTGCTCGCTCTTGGCACACTTTGGCCTCCATGGTCCTGCTTATTGTTCTGTTTCCTCCCTTGTCACATCGCCCAGACTGACAGTCAATACCTCATCCTCATCCATGTCAGACTTAAGCAGTGTCTGTTGTTATCTAACTCTTTCTCTGGCTTAGCTAAAAGCCCCAATTTGCAGGCATCACTGATTGCTACTTGAAGCAAATTTTTAAAAAGCAAGAGGTAGGAGGAGAAAGTGGAAATTATGCTAGAAATAAAATATTTTTAGGATCTTTTTTTCTTCCTGTGATGGTACTGG